AGGATAACTATCGGGGGCCTATCCGCAATTGACCCCTATTTATGTGAAGATTGTAGTATTTATCTGGCAGTCCACGCTTCTCTCATCGTGCTTAATTGGCTTGCAAAGTTTTATTGCAAAGAGGTGAACTGGAGAAACTTTTCAGTGGACTGAGTCTACACGGGTGATGGTCCAAAGAGCAATGGACGCTTAGATTAATATACTTATCCCCAAATTCTCCTGTTTTGCACACTTATCCAAGGATCTGATGAGTACTTTCTCTTTGAATTGGTGATCCTATACGCCTGCCATACCGATGGAAAGAAATGTATTCATGTTCTAACTTCCAGTGCAATGACGGTGGACAATGAGAACTGTTATGTCAAGATATTCAGGGATCTGGGAAGTGAATCGTCGAAGATTGTGACGCTAGCTTCCTCCTCTCCGTCTACTGCTGCTCCAGCTTCTTGTTCTTCTTTTTCATCAACTCCAGTCTCATAAAATGGCTTTGGATAACAGAGCAGGAGACTGAATTGTTTCAAGGGGTACCAATATCCTGTTTGAAGATGTCAATCGAATCGATGCTTGTATGTTCTTCTACTCTATTGACTGCTTAATGTAGAGAGTTGGATGCATGAAAGCAGAGTTGAAGTCACCTGGCGTTTCTTGCGTCGTAATAAACTTTTTTTTTTTCTCCCCCAAAGGTGAAGTTGCTTTTAAGTCAGAAAATAGTAAACTCCAGTAAGCCTCGTCTCATTTCAAGAGAAGTGAGAAACCATTCAAAACTAGGGAAGGCTGCTCTTGTGACAAGATCAGCCGAATCTCTTTAAACTTCTCAGAAGAACTCAACAGTAGACGATCACACAACAAGTTGTGACAAGATCAGCCGAATCTCTTTAAACTTCTCAGAAGAACTCAACAGTAGACGATCACACAACAAGAAAGTATTCAGAAAACCTGCCATCATGAAACTTCTCAGAAGAACTCAACAGTAGACGATCACACAACAAGAAAGTATTCAGAAAACCTGCCATCATGACACCAATGGTGCCCCCGTGAGATTAGTCCTTGAATCACTTGACTTGGTGATTAATACGTTGGACTCGGTGCTTTACGTACTGAACCAAGGGTGTACTTTCTCAGTAGAAACCATTGACACACCATCAAGGCTATGGACCGGATCCACTAGATACTTTCTCAACATAAAATACAGTGGACATATTAACTGGATACTTTCTCAGTACATAACACAGTGAACGTAACAAATACCTGGGCAGTAACGAAGCAATTCCTGTGTGTTGCAACTGAAAGCGGCAGCATCAACGTGTAACTAGTGCTAATATCTCGTATTCAGGGAGTACTCTGGCATTAAGGAACCTTCACATCAATTAATAATTATGTTTGAACAACAAAGTATATGCTTCAGCAATAAATTAGTATTAAATAAATAATATATCGAAGAACGACTTGAAATATTCTACTTTACTTCTCCAGCAATTACAGCTCAACAGTTTCTAATACCATTCTGAGTACCACATGTGAACATTTTCATTGCCTCTCGGAATACATACTCGATAGATTGCAACTAGAATAACCTGTATAAACAATAATTTTCCCGCTCATTCTCTCATCACAAGCTCACTCTGTTATAAAACATCGGTCATGGCGCTCAAGCAGATCAATCAAAAAAAAAAAAAAAAAAAGAGGGGGGGGGGGGGGGGGAAAAAAAAAAAAAAAAAAAAAGAGGGTGGGGGTTGGGGGTGGGGGGGTGAAGTAAAGCAGAAAATGGCAAAAAAAGGGCGAAACCCTAATCCAATCTCCAACTACACTTTACATAGATACACAATTTGAGGGGATCGTGTAAGAAAACAATTTCACCAGATGTTCCTCAACTGAGATTCTTTAACGCCTACCGCTATTGAACTTGTTGGATATCTGATCCACTTGCAACTCTCCTATCACTGTGGCGTCGATCTGAGTTAGTGCTTGATGTTGAACTTGCAATTCCAACCTCGGACTTGCAAAGAGGGCACAGTGCATTTATCTTGAGCCACTTATCCACACATTCCATATGGAAGAAGTGAGTACATGGAAGTTCACGGAGATCGTCACCATCAACATATTTGGCCAGACAAATGCAACAAACCTGTAACAAGATAATAGTTCAGCTTTCTTGGCAATGATGTTTCTCACTTACGCCATCCACATATATGAGACTCATGCACCTACAAACTAAAAAGCCGAAAGGAAAATGCTTTGGAAGCTCAAAATTTTGTTTTTGAATACATACGATCAAATCAAAGTTCCACAACTCCAAATGTGACCACAATTTACAGACATTTGTGGGAGCTGAAAAGGATGAATCAGATTTCTTTTATGAACGATTTGAACTAAACAAACCACAAGTAACAAATTGAAAATTTTAAAAATAACCTATATTGTTATGCAATTGCATGTAGAGTCTCATCTAAATTTACTCATTTGGTTAATGATTGCGCTATTTCTATAATTAGTTTAAAAATTTGCAATATTTTGAATACTTTGCACTTATTGGTTATTACCAATTTCAGGATTGTCCTCTAACTCTTTATTCTGAAGTTTAAAATTTGAAGCATTTAGAATGCTTTTGTACTTATTACTAATTACTGATTTCAGGGTTGTCCCAGAACATTTTACCCCTAAAGTGCCATACCTAGTATGGTAGATGCAACTCTTTAACAACTAAAAAAATATCAGGGGTTATTTGACTGCTCTCCTGGTTCTACAGCTGTTTGACTGTTTCAGTTCTCTCCTTTTTTTTTTAATACAAAATTCACACAACTGACATTACAAAATATTCTGAAATAGTACTGATCTTCTTGTGTGATGGCAACAAATTCAACATTAACAAAATTACAATCCACAGGCTTTTATTATCTATAAACTGAATAATTACGTGACATTCAAAATCTGAATTTATGAACCTCCTCATGACGAATATGATAGTTCTACCAAAGTATAAATGTGTTGAAGAGAAAGATGTTGGGAAAGCTTTATAATATAAAATCACAATTTGGAAGATATTTTATAAAGTTGTGTACTGTTATAGATCCAATAACTGACAAGGAAGAATATTTCACTCTGGATCTGAGCTCTAACCCAAAGTAATTATGTCGGTTTAAGGTGTTGCAGCATTCAAACCAATTTACTGGCATGATAAGTGACTACGCATGAGGTAGCTTTAACAGCTTATTCGAGCATAGCTACACGTAATTAGAAGTAAATGTATTCGGAACTCACAGCATCTTCAGCTGAGATAGTCCGCTCCTTGTCAGTACCAGCAGCCAAGATTCCACCCTCAGCCTGGCTCTCCAAGTTATCGTCACTCTCTTCTGCATTTTCACTTCTCCTCGACTTGTACTTATAAGTTGGCAACAAGGCGATTACTTCAGAGGTCGCTCCTCTGTTCTGGCCAAGATCCTCTCTAAAGCCCATGATGGAAATTATACAGGGCAAGCAGCAGCATATCATTGCGCACAAAATAAATGGCATGGCATAACCAATACAGCTAAATGTGAGGAAAACTATACATAACCTGTGGAGAGGATGAGAAGATATATCAATGTGAATGAGATAATAAAAGAAAATATGGAAATTTGTATATGTCAATACCTGTACAAGTTGGGAGCATCAGAAGCAGAGTGCCCACCAAATACCCAGACATTTCCAACAACAAACCACACGGCAAAAAAGCAGTCCAGAGCCATTTTGAAGTGATCAACAAAAGCATTGAGCCTGAAAGCAGTAAGCACAATACTAACTCAAACGAAACTAAAAAAAAATCACGCAAATCCATGTGGAACCTAGAATCTGAGAGCATATAATTCATGTTGATATGTCTTGAAGAACACAAGATAGCAAAGCAACAACAAAAAAAAAAGTATCCTTTATCTTAGAAGCAGATTATGTATTTATACATGTCTTATTTTCAATTGAAAGTAAAACATGAAAATGCAACGTGACAGAAGATGCCAATCGGAATTCAAACACTTGCTCATATTTCCCTATTATCTTATGGAATAGAGGAGCTTAGTTTTACTATCGAGAATGCACATGAAGGAAGGAACAAAAGCAATCCCTGGTCACTGCAATTCCTACATCCAACCAATAACAGTATTGCAACAGCCATCTTGGATCCCAGTACTTTTCAGGGTTAGTAAGTTCATAGAGCCTCGGGAAATTGATATGTCCACAAAAACAGCAATTTCATTTATGGTGCATCTGTTTAGAACCTTGATATCTACAAAAATCATCAACAAGTATCGATTTTATTCATGACCTAATTCTTAGTATTTGTTCTGAAAATGATGATACAACACTGTGAACCTTTGACTCCAAGAAAAGCATATGTTCCCATGGATAATGTGAAGCAAAACCTTGCTCATTCACTGCAGCTAATCTAACACCTAAGATGGTAAGGAGAGGTGTTCGTTGCTTGTCATCAAAAAGTTGTATAATTAAACTAAGATACTGTGCCAGATCATTTGTAAAGTACTTAGCTACCCCAACCCAAAAAGAAAAAAAGAGCACACACACAATCCGGACTCCTATATTTCCTAAGATGGTAACAGGTTGAATCCCATTTTTTAAGCCTTCCTTTAAAGACACCAAATATTGCTAGAGAACTGCAGATGTCTACTTTTCTTGCAGTGCAAAAGATGTAGAGCTGGTTCTTAGAAGCAACAAAAAACCATGTAAATGATAAATCAATAACAAGTAAAATCTTCTTACAAGTCAAAGGCAAGTAGAACGCAATATTCTGGGTATACACCAATCAAATCTCAAGCATAAGATTACCCTCACAAATTTCATATATACTTCCCATCTTTCTAAGTATCAAATGGCTGACAGTAGCTAATTAGCTTTCAAATCCTCCCAGGTTGAAAAGCCATTGTTGCACAGTGCACACCCTACTGCATTCTGAAAAGATCCACCAATCAACAGCACACACAAAACATCAGGCTGAAACCCTTTTGATACCCCAAAATTTACATCCTTATAAAGCCAATTATTCTCATATCTAAAGTTTTTCAACTTCAACGATAGAAAAATCCCATGCTAGCTCATTCTTCACTAGATCAAATATATACTTGAAACCCTAGTCTAACCATTATATACCAATACTGACATTGTTTAGCCCCGAAATTTACCATGTAAATTAGAAATTATTAAAGCAAACTAACTTCTTTAGAAGAACCAAGTAAACCCATAGTAAACCTCTTCCTTTGCCATATCTTTACCAGTGGAAACTAGGCCTTATCAGCAGCATCAGCTGGTAAGATAGGACAATATTTTGGATGAAAGTCTGATTAGTGGCTAGCTCAATCAAATCTATTGAAGAAGACCCTTTTGGATTTAGAAACTACTCTTGATCACTTCTTAAGTCCAATATCGAGAAGATTTCAAACCAACCAATCACATATTGTTGTAATGTAGGTTATAATAAAAAGCATCTTGTCTACATGTAGATTTGTAATTGAGATTAATACCATCTGAAATTATTTTATTTTTTATCCATACTACTTAAAATAATGGCAAACATGCCAAACAGGAAAAGAAACAAAAGCATGTGCGTTGGCTTCTAGAGACTAATACAATACCACAAATTCTATCTCTAGTTTTGTCGCATAAAAAAGTAACAATACCTTGGACTTACTAAATTCCGTCCAAACTGTGAAGCCGATGATGTATTGTGACTGTTCTCTTCTTCCAGGGCTTGATTCACTGAAATGGCTGTGTAAGGTGTAGACTCAGGAGGATTGTTATGCGAAGAACTCTGACGCAAATGTGGAGAATCTTGGTCCGGTCCCTGATTATTGCGATGAATATAGCGCCAATAAAGGTGTGGAAGAGTGGCAAAACAGCCAATTGTATACCCAATGATCCATGCGAATAATGGGGCTTGCGGATTCTCATGCCTGGACAATGAGAGTACGACAATAGCTGCTATAATTTGACTCATATTGACAACAAGCTCAATTGAAATCCACAAACCCGAATTCAAAGGGCTTCTATGACGACGGGCATAATTATCAGCTCTCCTTCCAAAGGAAACACTTCTAGAATTAGCTGTTGGCGACACTGGAGAAGACTGCACAACAGGGACTTGTGAAGTCGTCAAGGATCCACCTTCATAATGTAATTCATCTGAACCATTGTGACCAACTCCATGTGACAATGACACAGAAGCGAGACCTCCCCTTCTTATATCAATTATATGTTCATTGGTGTTACCATTGCCTGATCGCTCCATCAACAAAGGGTGCCTATCAGTTTGACCTTCACTTTGAGTTTCCGATGAGGGAACAACAGCCATCAAAATCTGCCAACAGGACAGAGCATGGAGAAGAAAACCAAGTGTCCACTTCCCTAATCTTATCAAGCCGTCATTCAGACAGCTTAAGAGCAGCTTTATATGACACCAGGTTACATAACAATCCCCTCTTATGCAAAAGTATAACACTCTTATGGTGAACGAAAGTGATTGACAAACTTAAGATACTCTTTTCCTCTCCTCCTATTATAATTAGAGATATGTTATACTAACTTCAACCTGTAAAAGCAAAGAGAAAAAAATTTCACTTTTAACCCATCGGTGAAGACACTCAGTAGACGTGAGAGTAAAAGATTTAAGTAACAAGAAAAAAATGAACATGCTACATAGTTTTCCTGTATATTAGTATACAAAGAGAACATGAGCCCCCCCCCCCCGCGCGCGCGCGCACACACACACATATATAGCAGGGAACAAGTCAATATATATCTTTAAAGCACATCAAATGGCCCTTTCCACTGCATCAACACTCCACACACTTATGATGAGTGTTGACCGCGCGCGCGCGCACACACACACACATATATAGCAGGGAACAAGTCAATATATATCTTTAAAGCACATCAAATGGCCCTTTCCACTGCATCAACACTCCACACACTTATGATGAGTGTTGAGCGTCATAATTTTATAGTCTAACATGCGCCCACAGGTTGAACGACCTTTTCATGGGCGAAACTTGGAATCAAAGAGCAAAATATTTCTTTTAAACATATTGAACCTAAGTTGTCTGATAGCATGCCAAAGATCTTTCCCGATACACTAAAACTCTGAAGTTACAACGAGTGTTAAGGGCTACAGGTCCGTAGTCTAAAAAGACAATTCAGCGACTAGGGATACTAAGTGCCCATGCTCAATTATTAAAATGCAACAACTAATCCAAACTGTTAAAAAATTTCAAACTGATAAATATGACATCTATCTTTGAGATTTTAATCACCACATACAAAATAATGCACTCTAGTGAGATCAAAAATTTGGGGGGGAAAACTCACCTAACATAGGGTTTCATAAGCGGATCCCCGCAAAATCAATTAATATCAATTATTATAAACTGAGACAATTCAAATCAACAGAATAAACCCTTAAAACCTCAAAAACAACAGATCCGTTTCCAATTTCAGCTCTTTACCCCAATTTCAAAACCCTAAATCCCTAAATAGTAACAAAAAACTGGGTGTTTTTCGTGAAATCGATGTAAAAAATTAGATATTTACCGAAATCGCTATTGGAGGGGAGGCTTCGGGTGATCCCCATAAATTTTCCGCAAACTTTTTTTTTTTTTTTACAATTTTTGTTATTGAAATTAATAGCTTTCGATCTCCAAAGGAGCCGAGGAAAGGATACAGATGGAATTTCTATGTTTATTTAAATAATCTACTTTATCTATGTTGAATAGTACATGATCGAGCACAAATTTCTTAGCACCCAGATTATCGCCTTTGTAATCGTGGGTCCCAATATAGGTGGGTGAATAATTTCTGGCGTTTCCTGCTTTGTCCATACTTGATTAGCTCGGTAGAGGCGATTGTATCCGTGGGATTTCGAGAGGGTATTGATAGGGTTGTCCAAAACAGCCCGCGGCCTGGAAACCCGGGCCAAGTCCGGGCTCCAGGCCGGTTCTTTTGTGCCCGGTCCGGGCCCGACCCGGCCCGGAATAGTAGTTTTATTAATTTTTTTATTTTTTTTATTATATTATATATGTATATATAAATATATATAATATGTATAATATATGTATATATAATATATTTTTATATATGTATAATATATGTATATATAACATATTTCTATATATGTATAATATGACATATGTGTGTGTATATATACTCTCTCTTAGTATATAAGTATACTCTCTCTTATGTAAGTATATATATGTATAAGTATATATATGTATAAGTATATATATATAAGTATATATAAGAATACTCTCTCTTATATATGTATAATGTATGCATGTATGTATATATATACTCTCTCTTAGTATATATGTATATATAAGTATACTCTCTCTTATATATGTATACTCTCTCTTATATAATATATTTCTATATATGTATAATATGTCATATGTGTATGTATATATATACTCTCTCTTAGTATATAAGTATATATAAGTATACTCTCTCTTATATAAGTATATATATGTATAAGTATATATAAGTATACTTTCTCTTATATAAGTATATATAAGAATACTCTCTCTTATATATGTATAATGTATGCATGTATGTATATATATACTCTCTCTTAGTATATATGTATATATAAGTATACTCTCTCTTATATATGTATACTCTCTCTTATATAATATATTTCTATATATGTATAATATGTCATATGTGTATGTATATATATACTCTCTCTTAGTATATAAGTATATATAAGTATACTCTCTCTTATATAAGTATATATATGTATAAGTATATATAAGTATACTTTCTCTTATATAAGTATATATAAGAATACTCTCTCTTATATATGTATAATGTATGCATGTATGTATATATATACTCTCTCTTAGTATATATGTATATATAAGTATACTCTCTCTTATATATGTATACTCTCTCTTATATAATATATTTCTATATATGTATAATATGTCATATGTGTATGTATATATATACTCTCTCTTAGTATATAAGTATATATAAGTATACTCTCTCTTATATAAGTATATATATGTATAAGTATATATAAGTATACTTTCTCTTATATAAGTATATATAAGAATACTCTCTCTTATATATGTATAATGTATGCATGTATGTATATATATACTCTCTCTTAGTATATATGTATATATAAGTATACTCTCTCTTATATATGTATACTCTCTCTTATATAATATATTTCTATATATGTATAATATGTCATATGTGTATGTATATATATACTCTCTCTTAGTATATAAGTATATATAAGTATACTCTCTGAGGGGGGGATTTGGAGATGGAGCTTTGCTACAAGACCCAAAATATGGGATCAATATGGGGGACAAGTGAGGTGTCCCCCTCTTATTGGATAATGAGTTGGTCATTGATGACCAACTCATTATCTAATAGGAGGGGGACACCTCACTTGTCCCCCATATTGGTCCCATATTTTGGGTCCTTAAAGAGTTTTTCTTGGAGATGTGGCGTGTTGTTTTCTGTTGGAAACGCTGTTTGATGTTGTGTGAGATATTTTGTTTCTGCCACGTGGATTGTATTGAAAAGAAAATGTCAGTTTATTAATGTGGAACACAAAACAAAAATAAAAATAAAAATAAAATCCTATTGAGTCCCCGAGAGAGAGGAAAGGCTTGAGTCAATCGAAACAAATGCTAAATTTGATGAGAACAATTAACAAGCATTCAACTTAGATATAATAGATCTGTACATTTTTTTTTCCTATACCTTACCAACAACCAAGGCTAAATTGTTAGGCATGCACATTTTACTAATATATTGAAATAAGAGCATGGTGATTATATAGTTTGGTTCTTTAATTAAAGTTCGGGCATGGTTTATATAATAAATGTAGGGAATTTTTTAATCTTTGATAGAAGCTAATTTAAACTCTGTCATTAATAAAAAAATATGCAAAAAAATCTTCAATGATTGTTATACTTTTTATTTTATTTTTATTGAACTCAAAGTTATACCTATCCGATATCAAGATACACGCGTAAGAGCATCTCCAACAGCTTTCCCATTTTATTGGTATTCTTACTTTTGGAGAATTTTGGGCTTTTTTTTTGTCCTACAGATTCCACATTCCATTCCCCAAAATAGGGATGGAGGAGAAAAAAATAGGAGTCTTCCCCAAATCTGGGGCATTCTTCAAATATTTGGAGAAAGCTTTGTCATAAATGCAGCACATTCTTCAAGACGGGATGGAGGAGAAAATAAATATAAAACAAAATCCGTAATTACAAAAAAAACATAAGAGCAGTTCCAATGCATAAGAGCATCCCAAAACAGGGATGTAGAATATTTTTATTATTGTAATAAATGTAAAATTCTTCAAAATGATAAAGCTGTTGGAGTTGGAACAAAATTAATTTGAAAAATATGACTTTTACTTTTCTATTTTGAAGAAATTTTTAGGGAAACTGTTAGAGATGCTAACTAAGGGCGCGTACAGTTTTAAACTTTAGACGTACGGAGCAGATTGACTTCTGCATCCGGATTAAAACTTAGGCTTGACCCATGTAAGGCCCACAATGACCATTGAACAATAAGGCCTTCTCAAATCCACAATGAATAGTTCTCTGAAAGTCTAATGAAAAAATGAAATGTAATTAAGTACAACTTGGCCCTTTTTTTCTTTTGTTTATTTTTCTTTTTTTCTTTCTTGGATTTAGCTTTGCTTGCCTTCACAATTGGAGCCCAAATAAAACTTATAAATCACGTATATTGTCCACAGCAAAAGAGAGCTAAATGTTTTCAGCATGCACATTTGAAGTTGGTGATTTGTATCGGCTCATTTATTGCTTTATTCAATACAATATTTTATTTGTACATATAATTACTTAAAATTGACATTGATATATGTGTCTGCTCTCTATATGATTTTGTGTTTTCTAGATCAATAAACTTTATTTGTGCTTGCTTAGGTAGCATTTGGATACCATAGTATTTCTCTTGTTTTCATAATATTTTTTTCAAAAACAAAACACCTTGTGTTTAGACATCATGTTGCTTTTGAGCTAAAACATCCTCAAATAAAAAATCGAACACTTATTTTAAAACACCTAAAGTGTTTGATATTTTGGTTTTGAGTTTGAGGGGATATTAATATTATATCTAGCATAATATATTAAGTATAATTAATATAAGTTATTATCAGCATGTTTATTATATTATATTATACTATAAGTAAATAAAATAAAATAAAATTATATAACAATAATATAATGATATATTAAATACTAATATTTAATATATTGATGACATATTATAGAATATATTGTTAAAGCTAATATATTAAATAATAATGATAACAATATATTAATATATTAATAAAAATTCAATAAAATAATTTGTTAGTAATAAATAATAATATATTTATTATAAAATAATAATACTATAAAATAAAATAAATATATTATAACCATTATAATATTATTAATGTTTTAAAAAATATTACATATTATAGTAATAATTATAAAATGTTATATAATAGTA